GAGAATTTTTTTAATATTTATTTTTTAGTTCTCGGCGGACACAACATCTTTGTTTGTATGTGGTGCTGAGGATCGAACCCGGGCCGCACGCATGCCAGGCGAGCGCGCTACCGCTGAGCCACATCTCCAGCCCCAGTCTCAAGGTTTGCTCTCAAAATCTAAAATAACCCACCCACCAAATCAATAAAATACATGTACAATAAAAAAACTGTGAAAGATAACTATTTCAACACGTGATTTTCAGCGTATAAGTAAATTCTTAAAAGCTCTCAACAATGAAAGAAATCTTAAAATAATACTTAAATTCACATTTTTTAATATTTATTTTTTTTATTTTAGTTTTAGGTGGACACAATATCTTTATTTTTATGTGGTGTTGAGGATTGAACCCAGCGCCCCGTGCATGCCCAGGCAAGCGCGCTACCTCTTGAGCCCTTAAATTCACATTTTTATTGGAAGAAAAATATTAACATTTCAAAACTTACAAAAATATTCTAATGTTTAATCTGAGAGAAGCTCCCCTGAAACAACTTTGCTACCTAGAAGGGTCAGAAAATGTGGCATTGATAGATTTAAGAGGATTTAATGTTTTTAATTCAATTATGAGATGAGTTCATTGCAGAAGTAACATAATTTGAAAGAAAGTATAATCCAGTTATCCTCTACTTTCAAACCATTCACCACAATTTTTCACTATTTTATTATAAGTTAGAATAAAGCACGAAGACACAAATCAAAACAAATCCACAGGACACTAAATCCCCGCTGTTCTGGATCTTCATTCTAGTAAGACAAGTAACAGGCAAGAGGACAGATGAATAAACAAAATGCATTTGAAAGTGCTTCAGTTACAACATGGAGATGGAACAGAAAAATATGGTGTTTATGGAAGGGCTTAGGAGGTGACATGAACAGAGATCATGTGAAGAATGGTGAAGAAAGGGCAGCCATGCCAAGGACAAGTGGGAAATATTCTGTGCAAAAGGACCAGAGGTGTCAGTGTTCCCAGAAGGTCAGTGTGGCTAAACAGGGTGAATGTCAGGAAGTGTTGTAATGTAAGAGATGACGTTAGGGAGAGAGGGAAAGCCAACTCATCTAGTTTTAAAGTCATGGCAATTCAAAATGAGAAATCTAGATTCTGACACAAAACTTGGGATGTAGTTAGAGGTACAACACTTGCTTGCTTATTTGAGACCCTGGGTTTCATCCTTAGCACAAAAACAAAAACAAAAATACCAAAACAAAAATTTATATACACTTGTCCCATGCCATTCATGGGAATCACTGACCCAAAAGATATATGCTGATCATATACTACATGGAAAATCCATTACAGAGCTTTTAAAAGACATATCATAACTTTACTTAGAAATTGAATGTCTGGTCCACTGTATTTTTGTTTTTGTTTTTGTTTTGAGTGCTAGGGAGCAAACATAGGCTCTCACACATGCTAGGCAAGTGCTCTACCACTGAGCTACATCTCATTGTGACTTTTAAGATAATAACTAAGAACAATGTAAGATTCCTTCACTAAATAAATAACCGATAAGAATAACAATGATTTCTATTTCAACATTACATTTAAACTTTAATATTATAAGAGATTTTCTGTTAAGATGTTGTCATTCAGCTAACTCTGTGATAACTTTGACAAGTTCTTTGGATACTTAGTTCTAAACCATTTTAAGCCAAATGTAATTCCTGATCTTGTCTGGATAGATTTGTGAGATACTGTGATGAAAAGCATCCCAGTTATTCAGCCTTACAACATTATAAAGAATGTGAATGTGCTCAGAAACCATAAACATCCAACATAGAGCAGAACTCACATGATGTTTTCCAGTTGCAATAATTACCCTGCCATTTGGATGAAATTAGCAAAGGGAAGGAAATCAAGTTTTACCATGTTAATAAGCACCATCCACAGAGTTCTCACTAGTGCTCATAACAGCCCTATGAAATAGGTATTATTTCCGTGTTACTCAAGTGCAGTTAAGTTGGGTAACAAGGGCAAAGCTCATACTTTTTCTAGATTAATCTTTAAAAGCGCCTGAGAGAAGCTGATTATAGCTTGAAATTATTCAACATGCACTTCTTTCTTCTAAAGCTCTCAAAAACTCTATTTATCCACACTAGACTTATAAAAGGAAAAGACTATAACTTGCCAAAGAAAAGTTTGTTTTCTATTGCTGGTCAAAACAGCTTCTCTGAAAAGGAAAGATACCAAAATCTGGAAACTGATTCTCTTTCAAAATCTGTCAAGATATATATATATATACACACACACACACACACACACACACACACACACACACATACACACACACACACACATATATTTTTTTGACTGAAGTACAAATGTATAACACTGCAGAGGGTGGTTCAATGGGAGTTCAGATGTGACTGGCTCAGGAGGATGTGCATAAGGAGAATTCAGAAACAGGTCAGCCTTCACAGAATCTCCAGTCCAGCCTGACTTAGACACAAGATGTATGGGTTGAACTGTGAAAACTGGTACATCTTGCTCTGCTCCTCCAATTGGTAGCAGATGGCATAACTGGTCATAAATGCTGGTCCACAAAAGCTTTCAGGAGAGGAGCTTTGAATTTGTAAGCAAGTTCTAGCTGCTTACTCTGCTGCCACTTCCATCTCTGAGGGCCTTTAAAATATTCCTGCCTGTCAGCAGACTTCATAGGAAGTTATAAAAAAGGCAGTGAAATTGGTGTGGGGGGGGGGATCTCTTGCATAATCCTTTTGTTCAAGCCAATGCAAGCATTTAGTTCTTGTTTATTTTGCTGTGTAATTCCTGGAACTGTTAAATCAATAGTGTTTTTGGATGAAAGTCTTCCCCAGAGGTTCCCCATCAACATATTTTTAACATCACTGTGTAGAAAATTTGTTTAAGACACATATTCAACGGAATTGTCTATTTTCTTCAGGACTCATTTTGGAAATGACTAATTGTGTAATTTTTCATATGTCACTCGCACAACAGCAGATCAAATATTTTATTATTTATTTTGTGTGCGGTACTGGGAATCAAACCCAGGGACTCACGCATGCTAGGCAAGCTCTTCACCATTAAGTTACATCCCAATCCCTTTTTATTTTGAGACCAAGCAGGTCTTGCTAACTTGCAGAGGCGGGCCTCGGATTTTGGATCCTCCTGCTTCAGCCTGGAGTAGTTAGAATTATAGGTAAGTACCTGTATCTGCCGCAAAGTTTTTTGTTGTTTTTCTTGTTGATGATTGTTTTTTTTTTAAATCACGACTTAGTGGAATCCAACTCTCGCATGTACACGTCCCTCTTCCATCCAGGGGTTATTTGGCTGAACCCTTTTCCCGTTTCAAAAACTTGAGCCCCAACCAATTGGACAAACAACTGGCGCCTGCTAAAGAGGGCTTACTTCCTCCCAGCACCCCCTACCCACGCTGCGCCCTAGCTGGGGAAAATCTCAGCTGCCAACATTCTCGCTTCTCAATGACCCAAATGTGCCTGAAACTACTCAGGTCGAGGGACTAGATCTGAGTCCCTCCGCTCTCTGGCCAATCAGCCTGGTTGCGGGGTGTGGGGCGGGGTCCCTCCGGAGGCCCTCCCCGCGGAGTGGGGTCTGAACTGAAGTTGTAGGCACTGGGGAAGGAGCCCTCACGTTCTCCGCCACCTCCCTTCGGGGCGCTCTCTGGAGACCCACGGAACCCCGAGGGGCGAATAGGGATATGACCAGATAGCAGGGTCCAAGGGGGAGCCTGGGGTGTGCGTGCAGAAAAGGGCGAGATGTCCCGCCCAGGTGCACCCCCTCTGAGCCGCCCCGGTGCGGGTGGCAGTGGACAGTCTCTGCTGGCTCGCTGTTCTGGCTCTCGGGCCGGGGCCGGGGCACGGCAAGGGGCAGCTTACCCGCGACCGTGGCAGCGACAAGGCCCAGCAGTGGCAGTAGCAGCTTGGGTAGCACRGCCCGGGGCATGACGGCGGCAAGAGCCAGAGGGCGGGCGGCAGGCGACAGCGGGCCGGAGCGGGGCGGGGGCAGTGCTTCTCGGAAGTGGAGCTGCAGTCCCGACCCCTCCCACCGCCCTGGCCAAGGGAGTGCGCTACAGAGGGTCCCACCTAACGCTGACCCGGGCTCTCCAGATTGCGCAAAAGGGGCTGGAAAGAAGCCTTATGAAACTTCCCTCTTCAATTGGGGGGRAAAATAAATAAAACAAATAAACTTTTTTTGGGGGGTTGAAGTAATCTCATACTTTCGAAAATGTTGCAAAAATAGYACAAAGCATTTCTGTAACCCTTCGGGCAGCTTCTCGAAATATTAACTTCTTATGTAACTCTAGTAGAAAGATCAAAACCAGGAAATTACCACTGATATACTACTATTCGCTAAACTATTCACAGAATTTATCACAGTTTGCCAATGTCCTTCTCTTTAGTGCKCTTTTCCTATTCTAGGATCCAATCCAGGATCATACATTACATTGAGATGTCACATCTCCTTAGTTCTTTTAATCTCAGACAGTCTTCTGTCATTCTGACTCTTTCCTGATCGAAACCATTTGTAAAAGTACTGGCAGTCTTGTGTAGAATAATCTTGGGTTTTGATTTGTCTGATGCTCCTTCTGATAGGCAAGGGTACCACAGAAGTGATACCACTCAGGAGACACATGGCATCATTATGTCTCATTACTGGTGAAGTTAAAAACCTTTTCTGTCACTGACTCTTGGATCAAGAGGCTTTAAATTATGCTATAAACTGATTCTGTAATGTGGGTATCGATTATATAGCTATAGCTTGACCCATGAGAGTCTCTGGAGCCAAACAACACAAACCAGGGCCAATCATGCTGCTTGATTCAGCCTCATGTACTGGGAAAAGAGTTCTGTAAAATCAAGCCTAACCTAAACAATATGAAAGCAAACAACCCAATTAAATAATGGGCAGACTGAAGAAGACATCAAAGAAGATACATAGGTGGTAAATAAGAGTAGGAAAAGATGCTCAACATCAAATGTCATTAGAGAGTTGCATATTAAAACAGAAATTAAATACTACTGCACATCTGTTAGAATGGCCCAAATCTAGAATGTTAACAATAAATCCTGGTGAAAATGTGGAGCAATAGGAACTCTTATTCATTGTTGGTGGGATTTCAAAATGGTATAGCCACTGTGGAAGACAGTCTGGCAACTTCCTACAAAACTAAATGCTCTTACCATACAATCCAGCRATCACAAATCCGTGGTATTTACCCAAATGAGTTCCAAACTTATATACATGAAAAAAAWCTGCACACAAATTCTTGTTATCAGCTTTGGTTGTGATTGCCAAAACCTGGAAGCAATCAAGATGTCTTTCAAGAGGTGAATGGATAAACAAACTGTGATACATACATACAATGAAATATTCTGTGCCAAAAATAAATGAGCGATCTAGCTAAGACATGGAGAAACCAATATGAGCAGGCTATGATTCCAATTTATGGCATTTTAGAAAAGGCAAATTAAGGACATAGCAAAAATATAAAATGGTTTCCAGGGGGGCTGGGGATATAGTTCAGTTGGTAGAATGCTTGTCTTACATGCACAAGGCCATGGGTTTAATCCCCAGCAACACACACACACACACACACACACACACACACACACACACACGAAAAGAAAAGGAAAAGAAAAAGAAAAGAAAAAAGTTGGTTTCCAGGGCTTGACAGGGCTGAGGAAAAAAAAAAAAAGGAATGAATAGGTGGAACACAAAGGATTTTTAGAAAATGAAACTAATTCTTTGTGATGCTATAATGTAGATCATATCATTATATATTTCTCAAAATCCATAGAATTTACAAAACAAAGATTAACCCAATTGTAAAACAGGTCCAAGGTAGGTATAGTTAGGCTCCCTTACCAAAGCTCCCAGCAGGCTATATTTTTAGTATATAGCTAAGGTCATGAACATCCTGATTTAGCATATGWACTCACGGTCATAAACATTTGCTTGTGAGCATGCGCCCACTTATGTAACCTGTTGGCAATGTGCCTTTCTTGTCTGATTTGTCTATTAAAAAAGGGGGGTCTATGGAAATGGTTCAGGGGTCTAAATGGAACTGTCTGGGGGCAAAGTGGGGCTGGAGCTGGAGGCTGATAAAAGTGTCTTCTTCTACCTACTGGGATCCTGAATGTGTTTCCTAGGGTCTGATCCTTTTCCGACACCAATGTAAACTGTGGACTTCAGTTAAAAATAATGTATGAATATTAGCTTATTGATTTTAACAAATGTACCACTCTAATGGAAGATGTTAATAATAGGGAAACTGAGTGTACGTGTAAGGAAGTATATGGCAATACTTTTTGCACACCCCAAAACTAAAGTGTATTAAGAAAATAAAGTCTAGCCCTTTTCAAATCCTTTCTAGCCACTTTTATGCTTCTGATAGTCCAGTCTGAAATGGAGTAATTATATCAATTAAATTTGATCAAAAGGATCCATAAGGAGAGCCATAGAGTGTTAGATGTAGTGCATGCCATCCTCATTTACTGATAAGAAAATTGAGATCAAAACAGGGATAAGACTTACCCACGGATACATAGCAAATACAAAAAATTGAGCCACAGCCCAAGTCTTTTGCTGGATTCTCCCATGATTCTAGGTTCAGTCTGCCAAAGTTTCAAAGTCTTGCATAACTTTTTATTTCCATTAAAGATGTCAATAATGGGTCTACATTACTAAACCCAAACTTGAAAGCAAATCATTCCAAAGTTTCTTGTGCATTTAAATATTGGCACATCTTGATTCCAGTTGGACTCTTGCCCTGCTAACTAGTAAAATGAACAGTTCTATGAAATCATGCAATTGAAAAAGTTCTCTTCTCCACTCCCACCTCAGGCCACAAAATATATTTATTTACATATGTATTTATTTTTTATTAGAGCTTTATGGTTATACATAATAGTTGGGTTCATCCTGACAGATTCATACATACATAGAAACAAAACTTTATTAATGAGGAGTCACTGTTTTTCTTTTTTCTTTCTCAGCTTCTTAACCTTTGAATCTCTTTTCCCACCTCTTTCAGGAAACAAACGAACAAAAACAAAACAAAAAAAACCCTGAAAAAACTTTAATCTTTCTTCTGCCTCTGACTATGGCCCATCTCTACTTCCTAAAATACTTTACACTTTCATTTCCACCATCTTCTCAAAATCTAATGTTCCCCATTTCCTAACTTCCCTTTCATGTTTCGGCTTATGTTTCCATTTGGATTGTGGCCCCACCATTCTGTTGAATTTCCACTGGCTAAGATCACCAATGGTTTCCTAATCTTGGTCTGACTTCACTTCTTAGTTCTTTAGTGATGGGATCAACATCAGCTTGGTCCAACATCATACAAAAAAGTTATTTGGACCAGGTGCAGTSGTATACTCCTGTAATCCCAGTTACTTAGGATGCTGAAGCAGGACGATTGCAAATTTGAGCAAGAACTTGCCTCCAAGAAAGCAGGGAAGGGGCTGGGGATGTAGGTCAGCAATAGAGCATTTGCCTAGTGTGTGGAAGCCCCTGATTTCAATCCCCAGTTCAGGATGAAGGCAAGGTTATTTGGCCAGGGAATTAAGCACCCAGACTCTTCAGAGGACTGATCACCAACCCACATAAGGTCCTTTGGTTTGGCATTGCTGAGCCCTCCTCTGGCCTGAGATAGTAAAACGTAAGTAACTATTATAGTTTGGATATTAGGTGCTTCCCCCCACACACACACCTCAAAGTTCCTGTTAATGCAGAAATGTTAGAGATAGATTGGGTTGTGAGAGTTTTAAGCTAATCAATTCATACTAGTTTGACTTTCCCTCCTCTAAGTTGTTCACAGTGACACAAAAGCTGACTAAAACAGTAACTGTAGCCTAAAATGGAGGGCGAGTCCTTCTCTGTGTATTTCAGCTGTGTATTTTCAGTGGGGAAAAATCAGATTAAGGGAAAAGGCTGATGAGGGAACCCGTGAAAAGGCAGGTGCAAGTAATCCAGGGCAGGGGTCGGGGATAAGGATCTAAAATAATACAGTTRGCAACTGGAGATAACCTGCTTTTTGAGAAGTTCAATGTGAAATGAGAAAACTGCTGGCTTAGGGGACATGAGAAAGAGGATCTGAGGATGACTTCTGGGCTTCTAGCTGGGGAGACAGAATATGCTGTCATCATATTAACTGAAAGAGGATGGTTGGAGAAATGGAAAAGAAGTTTCTTAAATCCTGCTTGTGATTAATGTAGCTTGGGGGGAAATAGAAATATGTGTTTTCTAAATCTTTTGAGATGTAGACATAGAATGTTTTAATTTAGATTATACAGAGAATTTCATACAATAGTTCAGATCATGTAGTTTAAAAAAATGTTGTGAGAACTAAATTTGTCTTCTTAAGTAAGATGTTGAGCTAATTAATAACAATTAGGTCTTTGTTTGTCCGAGATGGTTTTAGGATTAAAAAAGGTTAAGATTAAAATATATGAACCTCTGACTTTCTCCAGAAAAAATCTCAGCAGTGTGGTCAGAATTGGGGGTTTCTAAGACTACAGTAGTCCTTTGCAGCACAGAATTGCCAGATAATGAAAATATCTTGCCCTAGAATCAGGAAAGGGAAATGCTGAGAGGAGGAAGGTGATTATTAGTATCACTTTGGTATGGGTTCCCCTGTACTTCCACTGTTACATCTATTGACTTACTTTCTAGGTGCCTGATTTTAAAAGACCAATTTTGTCAGATTTTATGTAGTAGTTGGGTTGGTGAGGCACACTGGAATGGGTTGTCTTTTAGTTCTTTAGAGACATCTGGAACAGAGGAAATGAGGGAGGGAAACCCTTAGGGGCTTTCTGGATATGTTGAGAAGGACATTCACGTAGCTCTTCCAGTGAATAATTGAAAATATGAACATGGACTATGTATTGAACTATGAGCTAAGAAATGCCTCAGAGGGGAGGTGGTAGACAGGACCCACTCAAGGGAGCGCAAAGAATGGGAAATAAGAGGAGCACAGAAAGGATCCCTGATGATTCTCATAGTCGAGACACACACTAATGGAGGAATCTCAAAAGGAAACTAAAATCAAGCATCCAGAGATGTAGGAATGATTTATTCTTTAAAAAGTGCTCATAAAATCGTTAAAGAATGCATTGATTAAAATAACTGAACATTTTATTTCTCATTATAACTATATTCCTAACGTAGGAAAGCCCAAACTAGAGATGTTTTTCTTCAAAAAGAATCAATACTTTTACTTAAAAGATAAAGCAACTTTATTATGGCATCACCACTRTATACAGCTGTACTTTTCACATCAAGTTGGTTTAGTTATTTGAGGAAACTCTAAATGACTAAAATTGTATAGATCACATGTCAAGAGAATTAAAATATAAATGATACTTCAATTAATATTTTAGGACAATTGTAACTATATTAAAACTGTCTTAGAAAATTATTTACAACTTTATGATAGTATAAACACTCTAAATTTAAAATAAAATCTATGTTTTGTACAAAAATACTCTTAAGTACAAATATAAGTTAAACACTGAATAAAACATTCACCATATGTAGTGGATGCTAATAATACCACCTATATTCTGGGTGGGGAAATTGAAAAAATTACCACAAATAATGGATCCTTAATCATTCAAATTTTTAAGCATTTTAGTAATAATCATAAAGTTTAGAGTTTCACTATAAAATTCTTGTTTTTTCAAATGCAAGTTAAATAATTTCCTTCATAGACTCCTCTGTTTAGCTCATTTAAAAAGATAACAGAGTAATAAAAAAATTCCTAGTCAAAAGTTGACATGYTATGTGAAACATAAATTGTAAAATTCAGTCTCATCCCTAGCTGAGTCCCTTTTATAAGGAAGTTAAATGTACTAAATTAGAAAACACAAAACACATGGCTACAGGGTTCCTAATCAATCTAACAATAATGTTCTCATGACTTAGAAAATGCTAAGTACTAAATCTTCTTTAAAAGCCGTTGTTTTATGAGTAATTATGAATAGAAGAAACATTTCCATATAAATGATATTGATATGAAATATCTTTGGAGTAGTATAAGAAGCATCTTGCCAACAGGCATCATTTTGCTGTATAAAAAGTAAGCATGTCTCACTGTGTAATAATTTTTCCCAAATGCTGCAACAGACTATTTTGAAACAATGTTGACATTATTTGCAGTTGGGTTTTTACTTTGAGGTACTAATTTTGCATTATGTCAGATGCTCTTAAAAATTAAAGGATAGATATGTGACCTAGTAATGTGCCAGTTTTCATTTTCATTTTCTAAGAAGTTATGTTAAAAATGCCATTAAATTATCTAGTTACCAGCCACATTCTTACAGAGATAATTCACATTAGTTAAACTTAGCCTATTTACAATTTGGACGAGTTCCAGCTTTAAGTCCTTTCCATTCTATCAACCAGAGATAAAAGCATGGCATTTAGTGGACAACTGTGTACACCAGAATTTCAGGGAACCAACTAAAAAAGAAATTAAGATGTCTACTATGGAACATAGTAAACACTGACATTGGGAAAAATTTAAGTGGCTCATTTTTCCAAACATAGTAGTGCAAATAAGAAAACTTTTAGAAGAATTTACTCATGGAAAGAAGGAAGCATGATCTCATCTTCATTCACTCCTTGTTCATACCGAACTGATGAGAAGCCTGCCCAGTGGAAACGGTTTCTTCGGTGGAGGAACCAAATCAGACCACTGATGAGAACTAAGACACTGAGCACTGCAAACGTGACAGCTATTCCTCTGTAATCAGGGCCTGGAATAGGGAAAGGTTTGACATCAGGAGAGAGAATGCACCCGTTATTATGATTATTATGTTATTATGTTATTGTGGTTATTATATTATGATTATGTTATTATTGATTTTGTTCATTAAGGTGTGGGTCACATACATAAGCCATGTCCAAATTAAAGACAATAAATATTTGATTGTTTCACAGCTTGAACAAAAAATTCAAACTCATTATCAAACATTTAACGTTTCCTTTTCAATTTTATGTTTTTCTTTTCATTCAAATTCTTTTTGTTGTTATAAGAATTTTCTTTCAAAGAAATTAAATTAAAGCACTGTTATTATTTCCACTTTCCTTTACCACCACTTTTCTTTCTTTCCTTTTTTTTTGTTTTATAGTTACACATAGTTGTTGGTTTCATCCTAATAAGCATCCTAATRTGCATGGAAATAGATTTCAGTTCCTTACTACCACTCTTTTGGGAGAATCACTTCTCATACATTATCCTCCCYTGATAGCAAATTGCTAAAAACTGTAAATTGTTGTGTCTGACTTATCTAGGGCCAAATATACTATTATTTGCTTTAAAAATGATTTAATCCTCAAGAATGACCTCATTTAGCCCTTAGCATTCCCYTTTTCTGTGTGCTGCCCATATGGGTTCATTCTATAAGAGTTAGAATCCTGCCCGTCCCCATCCTGTGGTAGGGATGGAATCCAGGGCCTTGTGCAGCCAAGAGCCAACATTCTGTCACTAGCCACATCCCCAGCCCTGACCCATGGCTTTAAATACCGTCTCTATGTCAACATCCTGTCTCTCTCACATATTCCACTGCATACTAGAAATTTCCATGTAACCATCTCTTCCCCATATGGACAACTCAAAACRGCCAAACACAACTCTTAATTTATAATACCCTAACCCTATAGGATTCTAACTTCCCCTGCCCTCCCATGCAYGCACCCTGCCAATCTTCCAGCTGCCCCCATACCTTGCTTCCAAGTCTGTCTGGCCCCTGCTAMCTTGAAGCTCTTCCTTAAGCTCTGGGCAGGCTCATTCAGCCTTAGGTGCTTTGCTGCCCTGGTTCCTCTGCCTGCTGTGCCTTCCCCTGATCTCTGCTGGRCTGACTTTTCAGATTTCGGTTTCTGTGTCTCCAGCTCTTCCCTGGTAACCTAATCTAAAGCAGCCATCCACCTAGTCACACAGTTTATAACTATCTGATATTTTCTTCTTTTGCAAAGACTGACCTGCTTGTTTATTTATCTTCTTCTACTAGACTGTAAACCCYGTGAGAAGAGGTACTTGATCTGTCTGTTCCCAGGTGCACCCCAGCRTGTAGAGCAGGTCACATCAAAGAGGAGACATATTTGCTAAATGAATGCATGCATAAAAAGATACCAAGTACCTACAATTGGAGTTTTATCTTTAATATTTATACACCAAAATGGAAAGCTTTATGCTAGGTCTTTTAAAATGTTAATGTGAAAAATTTAGTTTTCTCCATAAATGAAGTTAAAATATTTTATAGTTATTTTATCTATTAATTCATGATTAAACTTAACTTCAAATTATGATTTCCTTCAGACACCTTGAACATTTGTAAGTATTAAATTTAGTTTTAGATTGTTTTAAAATTAATCATGAGTTTTATGGGAGTKGGGAAAAAGGAAGCAAGTCAACTTCAGAAATAGACCTTTAAGCCTTTATATATTCAAACTAAGAAATAAAATACATCTTAAAAATGTTTTCAAAGAAATTACCTCCCTAATACTCTGGTGGCTTCCATTTTTCTGAGGAAATAATTATATAAAGTTTAGATTATTTAATAGCTTCCTTTGGAATCCCTAGATGTCTTATGTATTTACTGTTTATTATAATCTATTTTTTTTATTGGTTGTTCAAAACATTACAAAGCTCTTGACATATCATGTTTCATACATTAGATTCAAGTTGGTTATGAACTCCCATATTATAATCTATTTTTCAGGGAGAAAAGTTCTAAGATTTAATGAAGATTTTTGGATACACTTCATAAATACTTCAGGACCAAGTACAAAAACTTAGCACATAATTGGACTATACATTTATTTTTTGACCTTTTCTGAATGATTTATTTTTAATATTTATTTTTTAGCTGTAGTTGGACCCAACATCTTTATTTTATATATGTATTTTATGTGGTGCTGAGGATCAAACCCAGGGCCTCACACATGCTAGGCGAGTGCTCTACTGCTGAGCCACAATCCCAGCCCCTCTGAATGATTTCTTAAGGACAAGTTAGATACTTACCCAGAGGAACTTTGCAGACAACTCTTCCATAGCCACGTGAACATTCAACCTTTTTCCAAGTTTCATTGGAAGCTAACAAAATGCTACATTTTCCATCACCACTCTTACTTTTATTTTCCCATCTGACAAATGTCACTTCTGATCCATCTAACCAATTCCAAGATTGATCTGAAGAATGACATTAAATATAACTAGATTACTGCTACTAAATTACTGGATTAAAAACATGTGGCTCAAATAACTCATTTACTTAGAATGGTGTTGTCCTATGAGAGCCACTATTTAAAAATGAAATCCATTAAAAATGAACAGAAAAAAAATTTAAATAAGATATTTAATTACACTTGATGTTACATTTCAAGAACTCAATAGCCATGTGGTTGGTGAATACTATCTTAATGCAGAACTGGAATATTTTCATCTTTGTAGAAAGTTCTATTGGATACTGCTATAGTACATGATGTTCTGATTAATATGCAGGGCACATGCACATTTWTCCTGTGCAAGATTTCTTGGGATCATATCTTCCCTTCTTTAGAAAATTTACTGAAAAAAGTTATGCTGCTGGAGGAGGATGAACCCTAGAAGGCTCAGGAGTCACCCCCTTGACTCCATGTTTGTTTTTAGCTGAGGTAGCACCACCTTGTGGTGAGCTTGTGAACACAGTATCATTAAGTCATTTAGAAGGCCAAGTTTGATTCCATTCAGTTTTTGAGAAGTTTTTAATATTTTAGAATTCATATTTATTTCAAGTATTTAAAATTCAATTTTGCATAAAGTGTGAAACATACTTCCTGTTTACCAAATTTATATGCTTAACTTCTTTTTCATCAATTCCAACTTCACTCTAACCATGTATTATTATTACTATTATTTTTTTAATATTTATTTTTTAGTTCTCGGCGGACACAACATCTTTATTTTTTTTTTATTTTTATGTGGTGCTGAGGATTGAACCCAGCGCCCCGCGCATGCCAGGCAAGCATGCTACTGCTTGAGCCACATCCCCAGCCCCTAACCCTGTATTATTTCTTATTTGAAAAATTATTCTACAAATTCTTTTTAAATTAATTCTCTGTAATTTTAGTAACCTATGTGGAAAAAAATCAATATTTTTTTTTGTTTTGYAGTGCTGGGGATAAAACAATTTTAATCCATGGTAGAATATTCTATGAGGGAAAGGAATAACAAGAGGACCCATTTCTGAATAACAGAGTTATAAGCTGCAAAATCAAGGAGTGATAGACACTAGGACTCTAAGGGAAGTAAATCATGAGTTCCTTATGGAGACACAGGACACAGCATTGCTATAGGAGAAAAAAAAATCCTGATGTTGATTCAGGGATCTTAGGAAATAAGCCTGTAGAACAATTTTAGCTGATTCTACCTCATATTTTATTTCATTAATGTTTTCCATCATTATTAATAAATTACTTACATATTCATTCAAAATTTACAAGCCTCCACAACAGCCAGCAGACCTAGATTATCCATCAATGAGAAACACTGACGTAGCCACCATTTGAAATTCTTTAACAGGGCTGACTTGGTATTTAGGACAAGATAGAACCCTCTCAGCAYACTGCACACACAATTGTGTCACTTACCAACAGACTGTTGGGATAATCCAAGCCAGACTCTCATGGTGATGTTATTATTTTCCCTCATCAATGTGCTCACAAATTTATTCTCATTTTCATCCTCTATGGTGACAATAGTTGCAGAATGATCTGTTGAAAGAAAACAAATTGTACCTAATTAGCTCTATGAAAACTGGCAAGTCATTTATTCTAAACCAGCCATCTGAACAAAATATCTAGGATGAACAATGTCACTGAAAAATTCAAGCTTTACACAGAGATTGTTTTAAAAATCGGTACTTATGTCAAAATTTAAAAGTATTTCCAAAAATAACAGAAACATTTCTACATTGAAAATTTACATGCAKAAATTTCATATATCTTCAAAATATTTATCTGGCAATATTTTAAAATCTTAGAACTGCCTAAGAAAAATCTTTGTGTTTGGACAGGAGTCATAATAACTGGTAGAAATATGTGTCACCCTGTAGATTTTTTATCACTCTTTCCTCAACGAGCATTTATATTAGTTTTAAATTTTCTTTTTCTAAAATGGAATTAAACACAAATAGGTTTGGGATACTGGGGAACATTGTCCCTCTGTTAATATCACATATAAATGTACTTTATCACACTTCTTGTAAGTTCCTAAAAATAGCATAGAATTGAATGAATGAATATTCTTCAAGTTTGATAGGTACCCTAAACCTACAAAAGAGATTCTGGTTATCACTAGCATCAGGTAAGGAACAGAAATAAGTAATAGCTACTCTTGGAACTCAGCCCCAAATTAAATCAAAGAGTCTTCAAMAGCAACAAGCCTATCTGCACTTGAGCTAAAGTATTTCTTTTGTAATGGGGAATATTGTAAGAGCAGACAAAGGAAAGGCTTCATCCCTTTATCAAACACTACAATGTGCAGGTGCCTTATATGTTACTTTGTTTAATATATAAACCGATAGACCATGCTGGAAGGTATTATCACTATTTTACTGACAAGGAAACTGAGACTCAAGGAAATTGAATTGTTAAGGTTTACATAGCTAGCTAGTTATAGAATTAGAAAGTCCATCTTAATCTTTTAATAATAAGAATAGTGTGAGAGAGTTCACTATTTGCAGGGCACTGTGCTACCTTTGCATACATGATCTCCCTCCACACATCCCTACAGCCCAAACTACACCAACCTTTGAAGTAAGTACTATTTTCATTCTCACTGTTTGGGTGTGAATAACTTCCACTAAGTTAGTGGAAGTGTGTGGGAGGTGGGATTTGAACCCAGTCAATTTCAAAAGCTTAAATGCTTAATCCTCACACTCTGTTTACATTAAATTTTTTCTATTTTCTCCCTTAGGAGGAAGTGGCTTCTGACTTCCAGAGCATATATTCAGCTTACAGTAGTTCCCATCATGTATGTACATGGGTAACACACAACAGTTCCCACATAAAAGTTTCCATTATGTAGTTAAGAAGTAACTAGGAGACTTTTTAATTAACCAGGTGTCTTCATAAGAGTTAGCAAATAAATTAGCTAAATGTAATTTGCCTGGCTAAATTGCTACCCAAGGATACAGATAAATAATTTCTATCTTTGAAATATTCTAGGTGGTTGCCCTAAAAGTCATTTTACATATTAACTTTAGGCTAAATTTATTCTGAGAGGGAGACAATCATTGCTGCTCTTTCTAAAATATCTAAACCTGAGGACAAAAGTCCTATCACGGTGCTCTGAGGATGTGTGGTGATCCTAYTCAGAATGATGGACATCACACGCTTTGTTTTTGTTATCCTGGCCAGGCTAAGCTTATTTAATTAGTAAATAAGTAATGGATGATCTGTAATTTTTTATTTACTACTTAGTCAACTTTTTGAAAAAATTTGCTTCTTACCCCTTTTATTTAAGCATAGCTAGTTATATTAAAAACTATCCTATTGTCATAATTTTTCTTAACAGTTTACTTAGCTTGTTTTTTTTTTTGTTGTTGTTGTTGTTTTGTTTTGTACTGGAGATTGAACCCAGGAGTGCTTAACCACTACACCACATTCCCAGCCCCTTTTTAAAAATTTTAAATTTAAGATAGGGTCTCACTAAGTTGCTTAGAGCCTCAGTAAGTTGCTGAGGCTGGCTTTGAACTTGCAATCTTCCTGCCTCCGTCTCCTGAGCTATTGGGATTACAAGGTGCATTACCCACCCCTTTAAAAATTTTATTTTGGAGGCAGGGTCTTCTTGATAAGTTGCTGAGACTGGCCTCAAACTTGTAATCCTCCTGCTTCTGCCTCCACATCACTAGGACTACACATGTGCACCACTGTGTGTGTGTGGTTCACCTAGAATTTTTTATTTACTTCTTCTACTTTTATGTTCTATGTACTTATTTTTACATTGATAATTAAAATTTTTTTTTCGGGTTTCCTTTATTCAGTTTTTTTTGCCATTAAAATACACATTAAGAAATGATATGCTAACTGGAGCTCTAGCTCTTAGTCTGTATGAGATAAGAACCATAACCGAGGGSTGAAGGAAGCTGAGGTCCCTAAGGAAGGTGGAACAAAACCACTGTTCAAGCCCTGGACTGATTCTGGACTTCTACATATAAGAGAACTAAACTCTTAACTAGTTCAATCCACTATTAATTTGCAGCCAAATATAGATGTTGTTTCCCATCCTATAACAGAAATGTCATTTGAAATACAATAATACAATACAATACAATACAATACAATAATGAGACCAAACTGATTTCCCATGTATTACTAAAAAGTTGTAAGTTTGAGGTCTCTTCTTGTGGAATACCAATCCATTAAAGATGGAAGTCACATTTTAAGAAGACATTTGCATTTTGTATATAACATACATAAAGATAAATACTAATGTTATAAAATTTGTAGAATGTTTATGTAATACCAAGCCAAAGATTCTGTTTAGAGAATATATTCTTATCTGCATGTGAAAATACATTATGGAAGAGGAGATTCCTGGTTACCATGATATCTTACACTGATAATTTTTAATGACTATTCCAAAATTTCATTGAGCTCTTACATCATAAAATACTTAACCATGTCTCCACCCACTGAGCAAGTAGTTTATAATACCATTATAAAATGGTGGATACTTTAAAAATATTACCTAAATAAAATCATTATTTCAAATTATTTCCTTAAGAAAAATTTCTAAGAATGAAATTATTGAGTCAAAGAAAATCAATGAAGTTTAACTCACCAAGTTCTGAACACAATTGCTTGGCTTCTGAAAAACTGTGCAATGCCTGGTCAGCCATGTAACAGTGATCCCTGTACTGGATCCACTGTGACCTGTTCTCTTTTGTTGTTGGACATCTTGAGGAGTATGGATAAGGGGACTGCTCTTTAGCTGTAAAAATGTTAGACATARCAGTAATAAGGCATAGAGAAAACACTGCCTTTGCAAACCTAATTAAATGTCATTATTTAAAACTATTGCTTTGGTGGTAAGAAGCATCTATGTTAATATGACACAGCACAATCTATGAATACACATACTACTTAGCTTTTTATGATAATATGTTTAAAACCTGGACAATAAAGGAGAAAAATACTCAGCCAATAAGACGATTTTAGACTGAAGTAAAAACGACTAGAAAGGCAGACTGGGAAAAGAAACAAATACAGGTGGGGAAGCTTGAAACTACTCTGAAGTARTATCTAAAATTCTTCCTTTCATTTTTTTAGTTGTAGGTGGACATACTGCATCKAATTATTTATTTTTATGTGGTGCTGAGGATGGAACCCAGTGCTTCACATTTGCTAGGCAAGTGCTCTGCCATGAGCCACAACTCCAGCTCCCTTGAATTCTTTTTAATTTTGATAATATAAGCCCTATGTTTGCCTAGACACACATAAAAACTATCTTTAGAAGTCATACTCACAAGTAAAAACTTGGTAATTTGGTTTACAAATATATCAGCACAGTAAAATCTCTCTCAAGCCAAAAGAGTAGGTATGTCTTAAAATTCCCTTCAATTCCACTTAAAGTGTTTGATTTTTAATTGTGCTAAGTAAYGCAAGAAACCTATGCAATGAAGCTGGGCTGTTATTGTCCATTATCAACTCCAGTAGAGGAGCATACAAGAAGTAAAAAGTAAATTGCCAACATCCCATTGGTGGGGTACTGATTATCTGAGTCAAGTAAGTGCCTGGTTTCAGTCAGTAATCTTCTGACAACTCCTCATTAATACCGGTGGTTCAAAGAGATATTACTAGTAAGTTCTTTCTTCTACTACTTTGTGAAAATAGTTGGTTTTCCAAAGGAATATTATGGATTACTCCATTGTCACACTGGCTTAGCTGCATGTTGGTTCATTTGATCCAAAGCATGTGGAACCACTGGATACCATGGGATCACTAGGACTGGTGGACTTTTCTACTTTTTTTTTTTTTTTAATTTCCTCTCATACTGAGAACACATGTAGATAACTTATCTTCAAAGTCTATTTGTTTCTAGTATTGTCTGAAACTGGGCTGCCTTGGGTTATATACATTGTTTTTGCTTCCTATTCTTCATGAAGTTTTGTTTCCTATTCTTGAATTYTTTTTCAAAGAGAGGTCTGCATTGTGTTAAGTTTGTAATGTTCTTTTTGGTGTTTGATTCTGTGGATCTAACCTGAACCTTGTGAATGCTAGGCAAGCCACTGAGCTCAGCCCCTGCTATATTTCTRTTCAACAAGATACAAGTGGTTTTTTATTTTTTAAGTTGTGGTAAAATATAGACAACATATAATTTACTATCTTAACAATTTTTAAAGTACAGTTCAGAGATATTATGTACATTCACATTTTTTTGGCAACCATCAACTCTACCCATATCTAGAAAATTTTCATCTTGCAAAACTGAAACTCTGTACCCATAAACAATAGTTCCCAAAATTCCATCTTCTCTACATCCTGATAATCACCATTCTACTTTCTGTGAATTTAAGAACTCCAGGTAGCTCATGTAAGTAGAATAATACAATATTTGTCCTTTTATGACCAGCTGATTTCATTTAATATATGGTTTTCAAGGTTCAGCTATATTGTAGCATGTGTAAAAATTTTCAAGGCTGAATGACATTCCTATGTGTGTATGTGTGTGTGAGCATCATGCTTAGCTTATCCACTGATGAATGGATGCACTGATGAACAATTGGTGGCTGCCATCTTTTGGTTATTATGAATTATGTTGCTATGAACATGGTTATACARATACCTATTAGAGTCCCTGTTATTAGTCCTATTGAGTGTATATTCAAAAGTGGAATTGCTGGATCATATGGTAATCTTTAAGTTTTGAGGAACTGCCATATCATTATGTACAGTAGCTATTTTTATATTCCTACTGATGATGCATAAAGTTTCCATTTYCCCCCCATCTTTACTAATGTGTTACTTTCCGGGTTTTTGAAAATCTATTCTTTAAAGTTGGCTCTTGTATTAGTTTCCTAGGTTTGCTATACYAAATTGCCATAAGCTTTGAGGTTTAACGCAACAGAGGTTTATTCACTCATGGTTATGGAGGCTAGTAGTCTGAAATGGAGATGGTATTTGGGCTATTCTTGGTGGAGGCTCTGTGGGAGAATCTGTTTTGTGCTATCTTTTGGTGGTTGCTGACAATCCTTGGCTTGCGGCTCTGTCACTGTYATCACTGTCTCTGTCCTCACATGGCTTCTTCACTATGTGTCTGTGTTGTCCCTTATTACAGTGGGCCCAAATCCACCAGCCAAAGGATTTAGGGCCCACTGTAATCCAGTATGACCTCATTCCAACAGGCTACATTTACAAAGACTATTTCTTGAGGATCAYGTTCTGAAATTAGACAGGAATTTGGTGTGGGTTACTATCCAATCCAGAACAGCACAGAACTCTTGTTTGATCATGCTATCATTCTCCTTCATCTTGTAAAGTCTATTTCTCTGAGAGAAATTTCTCTATGCTTTATCATGTTTCTCATGTGTTCCAATTGTTTTTCTCAAAAAATATCCACTTATTTTTTGTGTTTTAACAAATGAGAGGTCAGTTCTTGATTGTATCTTTAAAGGAGTATCTCAGCCTTTAAACAACAATGCTATGTGAAACTAGAATTCACAGATTCTAGAATAAAATTTTTCTAGTAATAGAATGACTGAAAATCTTTGCAGACAAATTCCCCGGGAGAAATATAATATTCRTTTTCATCCACAAAGTATCAAAATATTTTTTGTAGAATTTGTGGATAAGCCTTATTTAAAATCTATGAATATTTTCTGTAATTATGTGCATAAATTATGTCATATTTTAGTAAAACAGCTATTAAAAATAGAATCTTACCTTTTGTAGTTTTATAGCAAATAGCACCATCCTTAACAGAGTTGCATTTTTCATGTTTCCAAATTCCTTTTGGATCCAAGATCAAACAATTTCCAGGAGATTTTTGGCCTTTCCATGGGATGTAGTCAAGTGCACTGCCATCAGACCATTCAAAACCTGACTCACTTCCCTGTTTTAAGAATAATGGAGACAATCTAAGCTTAGATGTATGCCTTCAAATATGACATAAAGAACAATATACATACTTAAAAAAGTATTAGAATGGAATGCTAATTATTTGCTCACAAATATCACAGTTCCAGATATATACTATAGRTCTGGACATATTAGATCTATATAATCAGAAATTTACTTTTGATGCAGTGATTTAGGACTTTTGCTCTGGCATTATTTAGGTAAGAATTTAAATTTATGGATTTATTTTTTTAAAAAGGATGAGTTTTACATAACACTTGAAATTAAATGACATGCAGTATCTTCCACTTATCATAAYTACATATTTATATTCCCAATCTTCATATTGCTCTAAATATTGTTTTTTTTGTGTTTTATGGTTYTGTGGTTTGTGTCTGGCTACAATTTCCACATCAAACAGCAGGGCTAGAAAAGGAAAATACTTCCCAAGAAAATCAAAATGGGAAAACTACATTAATTAATAAAATTAAAACAGTGGCACTGATACATTCATCAGCAGAACATTAATCTTAAGTGGTGCTAATTTCTAGCAGAAAAGTGGGAAGAAAGTGTTCATATAAGTCCTACCTGTGTTGAGAAATTTACCTGGCAATTTACATAAATTCTTGTGTTAAYATCTCCATGAAAATATTATTACCCTGATTTTACATATGAGGAAATTGGGTTACAATGGCTAAATAAGATGCTCATGATCAACTAGTAGAAATGGAAGACAGTTATTAGTATTGAAATTCAGATTTTTCTGCTTTTACTTCCTTTTCGCCAGCTTTGCAACTGGTCAGCCCCAAAGAGGCTACAGAGGTACTGTTCAGAAATRGATCCCTGGGTGCTTGGGATGGCGGCCATTTACCCCAGTGCATTCTACAAATATAATTTTTTACTTGTTCCATGATGGGGTTCTAGGACTTAATCTGATATTGTGCTTTGAGTTAATATCTAATGTCAAGTTTCCAACCTTCAAAGTAACAGATTTGATAAACAAATCAAGACTTACATCATGACTTGAGAGCCCAACCCACAGTGGAAATCCATCACGTTTTACAATATCTTCCAAAAAGACCTGGCCATTTTCATTATGAACACTTGCCAAATGACCTCCACTTTGAGAACACRTCTTTAATGCTTCATACCATGTTAGCTTTTTCTGAACAACACTATAAATACCATCTTCATATGGAATAAGCTGTGGCAGTGTAGTATTATATTCTTCTTTGTAGTCAACTGGAACATTTAAAATAAGTGTTAGTAATTAAATTTAAATTATTTCAAATACACATTTTGGATAAAATGACATGCAACCATTTAAAAATTAAACTGATTTCATTATACATAAGGGTAGTCAAAAGCATACTTTATTTTTCTATTGCCACAGAACATATAATAGACTCTTACATATTATAGTTGTCTGGTTGATTTTTTTTTAAAGGCATAAACATCGTCTTTATTTAAGAAGCTCATGTAATATTTGGAGACAGAAAACAGCAATACCTGAAATTATGACAAAACTGCTAACCACTAGGATATGTGAGACTGACTGCGAAGGAGAGATTTATCTGTATTCATGCCTGCTTGGAAAACCAGGTCTGGAAATTCAGGGGAAATTAAGACTAAAGAGAAATAAGTTATCCAGAAAGTAAGGAAGCGTTAAAAAAACAAAACCCCACAATGATGAGGCTATTTCAAAGGGACACTGCAGCCAGAGGAAAGAGCAAACAACCAGGAGTGCACCCTAGGACTAGAAGGTGAGGCAAAAGTAAGAATAAAAAGAWGTATGGCAACAAGGGAGTCCTAAAAACAAATAATCAGAAGTAAATGAGGCATAAATAAATGTAAATATATAAATAAAATATATAAAACATAAAATAAAAAATAAAATATGTATAAATAAATGACCAAATTTTAAACGGAAGAAGACAGATCTCTTATGCAGAATTCCAAGTAATTCATATAGATACTCCCTCCTCAGGAASGTAGAGGATAACAGTCTATCCCATATGTGTGGACTGCGCACAGTAACTCCTTTACAAAGAGTACAKCGTGGAGAGGGGGAAAGGCTACTGCACAGTAGAGAAACCTAATAAACACTACCTTGGGCCAAGCTATCAAGGTTAAAATCTACAGTGATAAGACATATTGCTTGTACCATTCATGCCATGATGAAAACAGCACCTTACATCTGAGGTCCCCTACTAACTCAAAGCTCCAGTTTAATCACGAGAAAAACATCAGCCAAACCAACTAAGGGATCTTCTACAAAACACACCACCAGTGCTCCTGAAAACCRTCAAGGTTATCAAAAACAACAAAAGTCTGAGGAAACATCACTGCCAAGGGGAGGCTAAAGGGATGTGATGGCTGAATGCAATGTGCCATCCTGGATAGAATCCTCAACAGAAAAAGGCATTTGGTAAAAACTAAGGAAATAATGTAGAGACTTTAGCTAATAATAATGTATTAATACTGGCTTATTCATTGTGACAGATATGCCATGCTAATGTCATCAGGGGTGAGTGGTTGTGATTATATATTGTGCAGCTTTTCATAAAGCTATTCTAAAATGAAAACTTTATTAAAAATGACAAAAGAGAAGAAAATTAAAAGCTTCTTGGCAGGAAGAAAAAATAAATAAAGGTACAAATATGATGCTAAATGTACTCTACACAGGGAGACAATTAAAGAAGTCCAGCCTGAGGAAAAAAATGCTTAAGGAGCAAGAATGGGAAGCAGATTGGGGCTGGGAGGAGGCATAGAAATAGGGAAGAGAGGCTGGTGTCTGAGGTCGCAAAAATTTACATGGACTCCCAGTAACTGGTAAGAGAGGATGCCAGGATGCTCTTCTGCAGCATTATGAGGGGAGTTGATGAGCCAGGATGCAACTGTGATGTGCTCTGTAACAGCAGAGAGCTGAGAGCAGGTTGAGAGCTCAGAGCAGTCTTCAGYGGTGAAAATTTAAACATGCATTTCAAAATGGGTTTATTTAAGGACTAGGCAAGGTCAAGAGACATTAAATTTTGCCTGGAATGTCAAATCTCTACCCAAACATTCCTTCTTGTTTTCTATTTTTTTCTTCTCCCTCCTTTAAGGCCCAACCAAGTGTCACTTCCTCCCGGAGGCATTCCTTGCTTTCATTATTCCTGTTTTTGTTCAGCTCTTTTGTTTGTACCAAAAAATCTAACACTAACCTACCTAYGACAAAGAGGTTAATGATGTCTCTCCACCTACATTTTACTCCTTCAGGAGGAGGCCAGGACACCCGGGCCCCAGGCTTTCTCCTCCTCTGAAACCTGTGCAGCACCTGTCCTGAGACTGAATGAAGCTCTCAGCACAGGTGCATGATTCCCACCTGTGCAGCTTCGCCTTACACTCTCCTTCCTTGGAATRGAAACTCACCTTTGCATACTTACCCATTTCAATTTTACAAGCAAGAATGCTGTGCTGGTAAAAATTGAGTGTTTCTTCAASAACATTAAAGGTCTGAATATCCCAGAAGCCATCAGTACTCAACCCAGCCAAAAACTTGCCGTTTTTTACAGTGGGTCTTCCTGCTCGCCAGTGTGTATAAGACAGCATGGTCTTATCAAACCACATCAGAGAATTATCTAGAAAGGTATATATTTTTACTATGCTTAGAGATTAAATCAAAACTTACAACAGGGTTAATATTTCAAACAACTGATTTTTCTGTCTCCTTTTCCTTCCTTCTAAAAGGTTGGATGATTATGTATATCTCTTTAAAATAGTTTCTGATTATAACAGTAAATCATGCTTATTTCTAATTTGGAAAATATAAATTATAAACATTAAGATCAAAATTTACCCTAAATGGAGAAAAACTGAAGGCATTCCCTCTAAAATCTGGAACAAGACAGGGGTGCCCTCTATCACCACTTCTATTCAATTTAGTTCTCGAAGTACTRGCCAGAGCAATTAGACAGACAAAAGAAATTAAAGGCATAAAAATAGGAAAAGAAGAAGTTAAATTATCGCTATTTGCGGATGACATGATAATATACTTAACAGACCCTAAAGGGTCTACAAAGAAGCTGCTAGAGTTAATAAATGAATTCAGCAAAGTGGCAGGTTATAAAA